CTGTCTTGTTGAACTTTGCTACTAGTGCTGGAGCAAGATGGTATCTCATTGTTGTTTTGATTTGCATCTCTCTAATAGCTAATGATCATGAGCAAGAGAAATGAAGTCTTGATACATGTTACAATATGGATAGAGTTTGAAGACATTACGCTGAGTTAAATAAGTCAATCACAAAAAGGACAAATATTGTATGACCTCACTTATGTAAAAAGACAAAAACAAACAAATGTATAGAGACCAAAGTTTATTAGTGGTTATCAAGGGTTGAAGACAGGAGGGAAGAAAAGGTTATTGCTTATGGAGCACTGAGGTTCAATTTACTATGATGGAAAAATTGCACTGACTAAGGGTAAGGCTGCACAGTAGACTAATGTAATTGCTGTCAATAAGTTGTACACCGGTAAAAAACTGAACTGGAAAAGTTGAGTGATAGATATATTTACAACAACAACAACAAAAAGCTGTTGAAGCTGCTTATGTACAACCAAATACCTCATGGGATCTGGTTCCTGGGTTTGAAGGTTTAAGGTCATGGTTTCACGGGACATCCCAGTTAATTGGCCTAATAACTTGTTTAGTGCTTTTGTTCTACCTCCTAGTTTGTCAAATAGTAGCTGAGGTCTTAAAAGTTTGCAAGCTGGTGTCCAAGCCACAACAATTGGTCTCTATTCACCTGAACAACAGAGGAAGAAGGAGAGTCAGGAATAGGAGGAAGATACGGAATGTGTGGCTAACTGCCTCCTTAAACAAATGCCTCCTTTTTCCATGAGACCAGAAGAACCAGATGGTATCCAGCTACCATTACAGAACATTTTAATCAAAGATTCTATGGAAGAATCCTGACCAAAAGAGGGAAAATGTAAAACAGAAATTCAAATTCTCATGGATTCCAGGTTTTCTGGAGGCATGAAGCCTGGAAGAACCTCTGAAACTACTGACCTAAGATTATCTTTAAAAGTTAAAACAAAAATACCCCCTGAAGTCTTTTTAAAAACAAATAACAGTTTAGAATAACTAGTAAAGAATATCCACCTTAGGCATTATGCTCTTTTGAGATCCATATGGGATCAAACCAATAACAGCAACTTGAAAGATTAGATAAGAACCTTAGGAGGCAATGAGTTTATGTTAACTGGGGAGAAACAACTCAGAAAATGAAGGTGATAATGGTATAACCATTGTGGAAAGCAGTATGGCGATTCCTTCCAAAGTTGGAATTAGAAATATCATTTGACCCAGCCATCCTATTACTAGGTATATACCCTAAAGAAGTGAGAGCCATGACAAGAACAGATATATGCACGCCCATGTTCATCGCAGCACTATTTACAGTAGCCAAAAGATGGATAACCAAACTATGGTACATACACACAATGGAATATTATGAACGCTAAAGAATAATGTAGAATCTGCAAAACACCGCATAA